TAATTTTCCTAAATCAAAAGAGTCCAAGGACGAAAAAAAAGGAGAGACCATAGATGATTAACCTAATTCAGGGAGTGTAGAGCAAAGAATAAGCTTGAGGAAGTAGCTACATTATTAGGAAACTAATTTTTATCTCTTTTCCATGTTATTTTATACACCATGAGTGGCTAGAACTTCATAGGAGATTAGATGTAATCTTAACTTTCTAAGTATTTTAGTTCATTAATATAATGTGATCATTTTCCATGAGTTGGATGTGTTTATTTTGATATTAATGTTTGTTTCTACCCTACCGGGAATGATTCATGATTTGAGAATTTGGGGTGAGTTGGAAAACTACCTTGTGATCCAACTGAGATAAACTCACACATTAGGTTGAAACTCTAGGAATAGATTTTAATCTATTGTATGTTAAATAACTCTTGCTATTAATGATGAATTATTTGTTGTTTAGGTAAAGAATTATCACTTAATAAATATATCTTAAAATTTTAGGTGAGAGGAATCCAACGAGTGAATATAATGGGACTGCATCATAAAACCTTGGTATTTGTTCAAACTATATTATGACTAAAATATGAAGTTAATAATAGATGAAATTTATTATTATAGTAGATACACATTTTATTATCGTAGTAAATCTTCATTTTATCATCTTACTTTTATTTCTTTTTTTTTTGCATTTAATCAACCAAAAATCAAAACAACCATAGTTGTGAATTTATGAATATTTAGATATTTTTAATTTTAATTTAGATAACTGAAATTGCTTAAGTGTCAACAATTCCTATGGATATGACAACTTTTTATATTACATCGAAAGCTTGATACACTTGACAAAATTTCTAACAAGTTTTCTAGAGCCGTTGTCAGGGAATGTTTTCATCTTTAGTGTTTTTGTTTTATCCTTATTAAAATTTATTCATTTTGCTTTCTGTATAGATATTGTTGATTAAATTAATTATCCCTATGTTAATTTCCTTGTGAAGTGTTTGTTCTTGTATACAAAGTCATAATTCGACAGAACCTTTTGTTTATGATCCAGAAATAGAGAGATTAGTTAGGAGAAAGAGACGTGCAACAAGAAGAAGAAAAATAAGGAGAAGAACAAGAGGGACCTTCTTAATTAGATATCAAAGTCCCACCTATCAAACCGAATAATGATTCAGTCAATCCATCAAAACCATAAAATAATCACTTAATTAGACTCTGTACACACCAAAACCATAGTGCTCCCCCTGATAAATCCATATTTTACTATATTTTTAGCCTAGTTTTTGTTAGTAAATAAAGAGTTAAATAGTAAATAAACTTGAAAATATCATAAAAATTGCATTAATATTCATAATTATGTAAATAGTTTTGATTTTTAGATTTTTAGTTCAATTCTGAACAATTTGACTTAAAATGACTTAATCCTTGTGCAGAAGCTTAAGCTGAGAATTTGAGTTGAAGATTGAAGTGAAGAAAGTAGAGGAATTGAGCTTAAAAGATGAAGAATCAAGTGTTATGTGTAGGCGTAATCACTCTGAGTACATAAAGTGAACACTTTGAAGAAGAAAATTCATGAAGATCAAGAGAGTAACTACGTAGTGAGCGCATAGCCACTTCAAGTGTTCAAAGTAGCTACACCCAAGGCCAATTCAGAATTGCACAGTGCGTGTAGCTACTTCAAGTGTTTAGAGTAGCTATGCAATTGAGCGCATATTTACTTCAAGTGCTCAGAGTAGCTACGCAGTAAGCACGTAGCCACTTCAAGGGCTGAGAGTAGCTACGCGTGAGGATCTTCCCATGTAGAACACTTGCGCGTAGACACTTAGAAGTAGTATTTAAAATTCTGTTACTTTTGCGTAGACACTTCAACCACTTAAAGTGTCTACGCAAAAGTAACAGAATTTTAAATACTACTTCTAAGTGTCAACTTTGGACGATTTGAGTTCCTAATTCAGTTTTAGAAGCTTCTAGAAGACCTTGGATGCTAGAATTTTCAGAAATTAATGTGTAGAAAGGAAAAAGGCTGAAAAAACATTATAAATAGAAGTTAGAGGTTCAGAAAATGGGACTTTGGTTCATTTTTATTATTTTTCACTTTGTAACTGTTTTAACTTCCAAGGGAAGTCAGAATGAGAGATTGGGAGTGACTTTCAAGCTTCATTTCTAGAGGAATCAGTGTGAAGATTGGGTCTTGGAAGATGTTCTTCTGCTCCTTGTCTTCTTTTTCTCTTACTTCTCCTTCTTCTATTGTAATGTTGTTCTAAACCTTTTTGGTTAGGGATCTATGGATCCATATTTGATGTTGTGATGTAATTGTGGATTGAATCTTGAGATTTTAATTGAATTGAGTACATGATTCTGTTCTTAATGCAGTTGTGGACTAATCCTTTATTCAATTGAATTTAGAGGAATTTTCATCAATGAAAATTGAGTTTATTTCTCAGATCTGAATTATATGTCTAGGTTATTGAGATCTTAGGAATAAGTATCATGATCTAGTAATCCTATAATTTCCAGAACCTAATGCAGTATTTGATTAAATTTCACCTAAGGGATTAGGGAGGTTTAATTAGGTATTAGGATCAATGAGGCAAGGAATTGTCCTTTGGTTAAAGAAGTGAAAATCCCTTAATACAAAATCTAGTGAAGTGATTCCTAACTATTTTCCATATAGCATTCTTAATACAAAATTCGTATTCTGTTTTTACAGCAAGTTTATTACCTTTTATTGTTTTTATTTCTTACTTTTACATGTTACAAACCTCTCAAATGAATTGTTTTGCTCAACTAATTGTTAAATTGTGAAGTGGTAATTGAAAGAAGATCCTTGTGGATAATACTTGGGGCTCATATTGAATTCCAAATTTTATTACTTGCTACAACTATCTAGTACACTTGCTAGTTAGTATCTCTATCGAATTGTAAGTAACAAGTTTTTGGCGCCGTTGCCGGGGATCTTTATTTTCAATATCATTAGTAGCAAGGAGACAACTAGATTGAGCTATTAGTTCCCTGTTTTCTTTTCAAAAATTTTATTTTTTATCAATTGAATTTTGTATTACATTTTTTGCTAGTTTTCCTGTACACCTTTGCTGTCTAGTTTTGTATAATTTTTGTGCCACTGTATTTTGTGTAGTTACATGTTGAGATGTTATGTTTCTTTCTTAATTCTTCATGGGATATTCTGCTAGTAAATTTTCTGCACTATATTGTTCTGTATTTTCATCATTTTCTTTTAGTGTTTCTGCTGTGTTCAGTTTTTCTTAGTGTTATATGCATGGGAAAAATAAAAACAAGACTGTTCTTGTATTTGATCCGGACATAGAAAGAACATTGAGGAGGCTGAGAAACGAATTAAGAGCAGAAAATTCAATAAGGAAAGAGCAAGAATTGGAATCTACACCTTCTACTCCTAAATCGGAAGAACTTCAAATTCCTTCTCCTACACCACCAACACCTCAAGAGAAGATAATGGCAAAACAGAACATGATGAGAACTTTAGGAGATTATGCAGTGCCTAACATGCATGGATACAATTCCTCTATAGTCAGACCAACCATACAAGCCAACCATTTTGAAATAAAACCAGCCTTACTTCATTTAGTTCAGCAAGATCAATTTTCTAGTTCAATTTCGGATGACCCTAACTTGCATATCTCTAACTTTTTGCAGCTTTGTGATACAATAAGGATGAATATTAGATTGAGACTATTTCCATTTTCATTAAGAGATAAAGCTAAATGTTGGCTGCAAGCTCAACCACAAGGAAGCACCACTACTTGGGCAGATCTTATCAATAAATTTCTTACCAAGTGTTTTCCACCATCTAAAGCTACCAAACTAAGAGGAGAAATTATATCATTTATGCAGCAAGAAGGGGAATCTTTATATGAAGCTTGGGAGAGGTATAAAGAATTATTGAGGAAATGTCCACACCATTGCATATCAGAATGGATGCAGCTGGAAACTTTCTATAATGCAATGAGTCCAGCCACTAGAACCATGATTGATGCAGCTGCGGAAGGATCATTGAATAATAAATCATTGGAAGAAGCTCAACAAATTATAGAGATGATGACTTCATCTATGTATCAAAATTCTAATTCTAGAGACTCTACAAGGAGTGGAGGATATGAAGCTAAAATTCTTGAGACTTTTCTTACACAAAACCTGCTGCAAAGTCAAATGTTTTCAGAACAAATTGCTACACTAACTCAACAAATAAGCAATTTATAGGCTGCTCCAATTCAGAATACTCAACTTACTTGTGATTTTTGTGGAGGAAATCATGCTAATGGAGCATGTGATGTATCTACAAATGAACCTTAAGAGCAAATTAATTACAAGGGAAATTTTCAGAGACAACAACCTTCATTTTCACCTGGTTTTCAGTATCCTAATAGCAGAAATCAGCAGTACTCTAATTGGAACACTCAATATTCTATTGCAAAGAATTTTAATTCTGCTTTACCTTTTTCTGGTGCAGGTCTAGCAGCACAACAGTCCTATTTTCAAGGGAATCCAGCCACTCAACCTTAAAGGAATAAAATATTCTCCAAGCCTATGACTGAAAGGTTGAATGAGATGGAGGAAACCATGCTACAATTTATGAAAGTAACCCAAACAAGCTTCAAGAATCAAGAATCTTCTATGAAGAAGCTTGAAACTCAAATTGGATAGCTGGCTGAACAATTATCTAGCAGAGAAAAGGGGAGATTTCCTAGCAAAAAAGTTGTAAATCCAAAAGAACAATGTTAAGCTGTAATGATTAGGAGTAGAGCTGTTGTGGGGAGTTCCAAACCTGCCAAAAAAAGAGGAAATAACATATTGCAGAGGAGAAATTAAAATTTGATCTAGATGAAGGAAATTTTACCTTGCTGAAAAGAGAAAATTCAGAAAAAAAGAGTTTTCCAAGGGCTGTAAGGAAGACAAAGAGGCAAATACTTAAGGAAACTAATCAACCTATTGATGAGGAGAAATGCACGAGACTTCCTTACCCTCAAAGAATGCCCAATCCAAAACAAGAAAAACAATTCGAGAGGTTTCTAGATGTCTTCAAGAAACTTCAAATAAATATTCCTTTTGCTAAAGCACTTGAGCAAATGCCTTCCTATGCCAAATTCATGAATGAGCTGTTATCTAAGAAAAGAAAGCTTGATAAAATAGTCCCTTTGATTGAAGAATGCAATGCTATTCTACAAGGGAAGCTCCCTAAAACATTAAAAGATCCAGGTTCTTTTAGCATTCCATGTTATATTGGAAATTGCATCGTGGGGAAAGCTTTATGTGTTCTTGGGGCCAGCATTAATCTCATGCTTCTTGCTATCATGAAGAGACTTGGAATAGAAGAAGTCAAGCGTACTAGCATAACTTTACAACTTGCGGACAGATCTTACACATATCCTTATGGTGTTGTAGAGGATTTGCTAGTTATGATTGACAAATTTGTTTTTCCTGCAGATTTTGTAATTTTGGACATGGAAGTGGATGCCAACATTCCTTTAATTTTGGGCAGACCATTCTTAGCTACAAGAAGAGCTTTAACTGATATTCAGAAGAGAGAACTTATGTTGAGAGTGTAGGATGAGAAGGTTGTTTTTAATGTATTTGAGGCACTCAAACATTCCAATGATGATGTTACTTGTATGAGAGTTGATATTCAAGATTCTATTACTTTCCCTCATTTTATTGATAATGCTGATGAAATTTCATTGTTAAAGGAAATAATAGTTGCAGGGAATCATTTTGCTGCTGTAAAAAAAGAAGAACACTTGAGAGAATATGTGCAGCAGCTGGACACCTTGCCAATTGTTCCTTTTTCGGAAAATCCAGCAAAGGAAGAACTGAAAAATGAAATGAAGGAAGAGAAGATTGAGAAACTAGAGCTGAAACAATTACCTTCTCGCTTGAGATACATTGTTGAGGATTTTAAGAGCCCATAAGTCTGCAATTGGTTGGCATATTTCAGATTTAAAGGGGATCAATCCAACTTTTTGCAAGCATAGAATTATGTTTGAAGAACATTTTAAACCGGTAGTACAGCCACAAAGAAGACTAAATCCAGCCATGAAAGAAGTAGTGAGAAAAGAAGTAATGATGTTGCTGGATGCAAAGATTATTTACCCAATTTTTGACAGCCAATGGATTAGTCCAGTCCAAGTTGTCCCTAAAAAAGGAGGGATGATCGTTGTGCCTAATAAAAAGAATGAATTAATTCTTAGAAGGGCTGTCACGGGTTGGCACATGTGTATCGACTATAAAAAATTAAATAATGCAACTAGAAAAGATCACTTTCCATTGCCATTCGCTGATCAAATGTTGGAAAGACTAGCTGGACATGCATTTTATTGTTTTCTTGATGGATATTCTGGCTACAATCAAATAGCGGTGGACCCTATGGATCAAGAGAAGACTACATTTACATGTCCATTTGGAGTCTTTGCATATAGAAGAATGCCATTTAGGTTGTGCAACGCTCCCGCTACTTTTCTAAGGTGTATGTTGTCCATTTTCTCTAATTTAGTAGAGAAAATTATTGAAGTGTTTATGGATGCTTTCTCTGTTTTTGGCAATTCTTTTGATAATTGTTTAGCTAATTTGTCCACTATTTTGCAGAGATGTCAAGATACTAACCTTGTTTTGAATTGGAAAAAGTGTCATTTCATGGTTCAAGAGGGAATTGTCCTTGGCCACAGAATTTCAGAAAAGGGAATGGAGGTGGATCAAGCAAAAATAGAAGTTATTAGTAAACTATCTCCACCGATTAATGTTAAGGGAGTTAGGAGTTTCTTGTGTAGCATCCTAAATTACTAAAACTCTGATATCAAACTTTATAATATAGTAGTTCATAAAATACCAAAATCTGGTAAAATTTTTTTTTCTTCATACAATTATAAGTATAATTCCTTTTCTCTGTGAGAGAGTTAACATGCATATATGTTTCTCAGCTCATCATTCCATAGGAAACTAGCATTCCTCATTTAATTCTCAATAGCACAAGATAGTAAGAATATATGCAACTCATAGCATGGAAGTACCTCAATATATTAAACATTAGTTGCAGAAATTGTCAAGTACTGACACAAAGTTGAGAACGATAAGCATTATCCAAATACAACATAACATAACATAATATAAATAAACAAGACTTCCTAAGAGCAGTTCCCCTAACACATAAATAAACAAAACAGTCATCAATCATAAGGAGAGTAATTCTTGATGGGATCAAACTCCTCAGAAGATGTAAGGGAAGCAGAGCTAGAAGAAGCAGCAACAACAAAGTCTCCACCGTTCTCCTCCATCCTTCCAGCAGTGCGAGGAGATGAACGGGTATCAACAGTGGATAACAAAGTAGAGGGGTAAGCAGGATGCATGCAGGATGGCATAGTAGTGTACCTAATGGAGGATTCCACCACATGGACATCCCTCTCCATTAGCACAGGTGGAGAAGTAGGGGGCATAAAAGGAAATGGCACAGGTGCGGGAACTAGCCTAGTAATAGGAGTACGAGGGTTAATAGACATGGGAGTCAGGGAAGCAGACAAGGTAGAGTAAGGTAATTGAGTGTCACCAGGAGGAACAGAAAAGACAATCTCAATAGGGGTGTTGGCAGCATACTAGGTGATCCACGAACCTCCACTCTCCCATCCATGAATTACTCGAGCAAATCCGCAGAAGATGCTCTACTGAGCCGCAGAGTCAAACACCCACATATCCTCTTCAGAAGGAAGGATCCACAGCTTCACCTTGTTCCTGTCCATCTATATAAATAAAAGAAGCATGACACAAGGCAACATAAACAAAGGGGTGAGTTCTCCAAACACAAACATCATTCAATAGCCATACCCCAAGGAAGGCGGCATCATAATCACAAGTCAGTCCAACAATCAACATTCAGCATCATCAAATATTCAATAATATAGTAGGGTGATAAATAATATTCATAATCATTGCCAATTTCACAAGTACTCAATCATCCCTAATAGTGATGCACATGATGCATGAATGCAGGTTTCGATCTCACCCATATAGTCACTCATGTGTCAATAGCACGCAAATGATGCCCGGGAATCCTATTCCTCTATGACTAGCAACTTGCTCAACTTTTAGCATAGAGATAGATAGATAGAATCAAGTCGTATGGCGATCGGAGGACTCCTTTACCTACTTTGCACAGTGATATGATAGATAGAAATAGAATAATAGCACATCATTCGATGTGTAGTGCCATTCGGCACATTCAGGAATGGACCTCAATGACCCTAGTGTTATAGAGTTCACGTCAGGTTTGGCTAAGGTCTTGCAAGTGGGTCACGACCTGCCTACAGGGAGCTTAAATGCCATGTGCCACTTAGGTCGGATGTTCCCCCTTTCGCCACCCCTAAAAGGTCTACTTCGAACTGAACTTCCAACACCTACAGTTGTGCCTCTGTTAAGCCATCAAGTCATTTCACAAGATAATATGATGCATGAAGTAGCATTCTCAGTTTTCTTGTGATAGTTTTCTCAATTGATTTTGTTTAGCCGCTTGGAGGCTATTGCACAGTAATAATAGAAGCCATTATGGGCTTAGAATCATAGCATATAGCATAAAGCTAGAAGTCATCATAGACTTAGCAACATGGATAGATAATCTCCATGAGTCACATGCTGTAGCATAGATAGATAGATTCCATGAGTTTCACAATAGTTCTCAATGAGTTCATAATAGTTTCTAGATAGTATATTTTCAGGAACTCAAGCATAGCATGGATCTTTCATCATAATTTCATAATCTCATGGTTTTATAGATTCATACTCATGGAAAATTTTAGTGCAGCATATAATATTTTGGACCTTAACTTAGGCAATTCATTCAAGCCTTCTTGATTCATTTCCTTTTTCTCAATTTACTCTTTTTCTTTCATATTTCAAATCTAATCTCTCTTGTAATTTAATACACTCCCATTTCTCAAGCCTTGCAATCTCACCATTCAAGTTCATTCTAACCATTTCATTTATTTCCATCATCTCTAACACCTTCTAAACCATAAATCATTCAACTCAAACTCTTGCTCTCTTGATTCTTTCCTCTCGGTTTTTCTCTCTATAAAAGGAGTATTCATCAAACTTAAATTTCCTCTAAACCATCAATTAGTCAAGTTGATTCCCAATGATCCAAGGTCATTACTTCTCTGTTTTTGCACTCTTTATTAGAGAAGTTCAATCAAGCTTAGGTTCTTTCTATACCATCAATTTAATCAAAATAATTTGCAACACACAAAGTTCTTTCCTCTCAGTTTTTCACACTTTTTCCTCATATGTCGCTTGCTGATTTTTCATTCCTCATACTCAGTTACTCAGAAAACAACTAGATTGTAACGTTTCCAATAAGTCCAATCATATCCATGGTCCATTTCAATCAAACAGCCCTCAAGGGCACTAGATCATTAAGATCATAGTATGATAAAATTATTTTCGCTGCACATTAATATAATTCATAAATCCTTTCATAGTGGAATGCAAATGATGCATGCGATACTATCAAAATAGCAATTCCATGGCGTAAATCATTTTACATAGCAAGTAAATTAAGTTTTCAGCCATGCATCACATCATGCTCCTTCACGGTTTTCTAAGAGCAAATCATCTCACATCATTCACACTTTTCCAGCAAATTCACACAAGTAATTTTCAACATTTTCCAACACCATAGCAAGGTAAAAATCAAGTCATGTACTTATTCTCATCCAAGGTCAATCATACAAGTTTGCAAGCAATAATCAACCATACACACAAGCAAAGTCCAGCACGGTTCAATCAATCAAGCCATGGTATAACTCATTCACTTCCATTCAATTTCCTTACGCCTAAAACAAAGTATGCAAAGTATAGTTCAACTTTTTGCAATTTCTTAAAGGTCAAAACTGAGGTTGTCCACTAGAATTAGCACTTCCTTTTGTATAATCCCTTTTTATAGTTTATACCAACCTTTTTCAAATAGTTTCAAGACCTCAAAATACCAAAGTTCTAGCCTTTTTCATAAGAATCAAAACTGTCCAGCATTATAGTTTATTTATTCACCTAGGTTCAAAGTATGCAAAATAGAGAAACTAACATGTAATCATATAGCTTCATCATCAAAGTGCATGGCTTTTATTCTCAACAAGGGTTCATGCTTAAAAAGACAAAATCAAGGCAATACAAGGTGGTTTTAGCACTCAACCACTTAATTTTCCAAAAATCTTGAAACTAACTTGTTTCAAGAATGATTAAACTTTAGAACAAGGAATCTGAAACATGCAAAGGTAGGAAATTAACATGCAACACCTTGTCTTACCATCCAAATACAAGATTTTTGGTTAGAAATGAAGATTAAGCTAAACAAATGGAAAATCGAAACACATAAGAGTTGAAATCTACATGCAAGTGAAGGAATTTATCATGCAAGTTCACGGTTCCATGGTTCCAAAGGTGGATTATTAATTTGAACAAGAGATTCAACAAAATAAGTTCAAACCCGTGACATGCACAAGGAGAAATCAACATGCAATTGTCAAAAATACATGAATTGTTAGAGCTCTTGCTGCACAATAGAACATTT